GCTAAGCAGCCCCCACATTTTCATGATACTAAGGTTAGGAACTCTTCCCTTTCATATCTCATATGGATTTTTCTCATTATCTTTAACATATAATCTATTCAAGATGAAACAAGCACTAAGTATAGTTTCTCCCCACAAATTATCAGATAAGTCGGAACTAGTCAACATTGAATTTACCATATCCATTAAAGTTCTATTCTTTCTTTCAGCTACCCCATTTGATTGAGGAGAATAAGGAGGAGTCACTTCATGTATTATTCCATGTTCTTCACAAATTTGTACTAAGGTCGGTTAGAGTATATTCACCACCTCTATCAGACCTTAATCTTTTCACTTTTCTCTCTAATTGATTTTCAACCTCATTTTTATACATATTAAACTTATTAAATACTTCATCTTTGTTCTTGATAAGATAAATATAACAATATTTAGAACAATCATCTATGAAAGTCACAAAATATTTATTTCCGGCTCTTTTTAGCGGTCTACTAGAATCACATACATCATTATGTATAAGTTCTAGAAGTTGGATATTTCTTTCTATACTTTTATGAGATTTTCTAGTTTGTTTGGCTTGTACACAAATTTCACACTTATGTTTGAAATCTACATGAGATTTAGGAATAAGATTGAGATCCATCATCCTTTTGATTTTCTTTAGACTTATATGTCCTAATCTTCCATGCCACACATTGCAAGATTCAACATTGAAAACTTGATGAGAAATTTCATTAACTTCCAAAAGAACAATCAATTTAAATAAACCATCACAAACATATCCTTTACCAAAAAATATATCATTCCTAGTTATTACAACTTTATTTGACTCCATTACAACCTTTTAACCTTGTTGGACTAAAGACGACCCACTGACTAAAGTTCTTCTAACTTCAGGAACATGTCGCACTCCCTTCAAGATTAATGTCTTCACAGATGTCATCTTTAACTCAATGTCTCCAATTCCAAGTACTTGTGCGACAGAATCATTTCTTAGCGTTACACTTCTTCCACTTGAATTCTGATAGGATTTAAATAAATCATGATCAAAGCAAACATTTATATTAGCCCCAGAGTCTAACCACCAATCTTTATCTTGATAAGTAAAATTAACTAGAGAATGATTATACCTAATAGAGAGTTCAGCAGAATTATCTCCATCCACTAGAACATTGACTTGGGCTCTTGGACCTCTTTGATTTGGCTTGAGCTTTGGCTTATATGGCTCAGTCTTCTTTTAGTAACAATCTTTAGCCAAGTGATTGGTTCGTCCACAAACAAAGCAAGGCATCCTCTCTCTCCCTAAGCCCTTGAACTTATTATTATTATTATTATTATTATTATTTTGATTTTTTTTTTACCATTATTAGGACGACTATTAAACCTCTTATTCTTAAAATTTCTTCCCCTAGGTCAAAAATTGTTATGGTTGTTGTTACTATTTTCCACTAGGTTTACCTTAGGGAGTCTCTCATTTTGTGAGTTTGTACTAACCCTATGCCTCTCTTCAACCCTAAGCGCGTTTATAGTTTGGGTCAAGGTTACCTCTCCTTGCTTATGTCTAAGGATCTTAGCAAAATTATCCCAAGAATGTGGAAGCTTGAAATTTTAAAATCTTCACTAAATGTAGTTCCACTCTTTTCAATTTTCCTCAAAAATTCTTGATATTCATGAATTTGATCACCAACGGGTTTATTCTCCACCATTTTATAATTATTGAAATTAGAGATTATAAACCGTTTAATTCCAGCATCAACAATTCCATACTCTGCCTCTAAAGTGTTCCAAAGCTCTTTGGCGGTTATTATAGTATTATGGTAGACATCATAAATATGGTCAGAAAGAGCACTAAGAATCCTATTATGACAGTGATATTCAATTTGTTCAGGGGTATACCATGAAGAGAACTCTTGATTAGATTGAGGCTCTTCTATAGTAGAAATTAAGCCTAATACGGTCAACCAATAACGAACTTGTTTTTGCCACCTACGAAAATTTTGACCAGTAAATTTTTCGAGTTTGACACATTAGCTTCTTCTAATCTAGTCATCTTTAATTTAAAATTCAAGGGCAAAGAAATAATAAGAGATAAGCAAATAACTTGTGTTGAATTTCAATGTCAGCTGTCAAAACTTTATTTGTAACGAAATTAAGAAAGATGTTTAAATTATTGTAATAGCTCTTAAAACTTTAATTTTATTTTTCAAAGGCAAGTAGCTATATATATATATATATATATATATATATATATATATATATATATATATATATATATATATATATATATATATATTATATATTATATATATATATATATATATATTTTTATTAAAGCAAGTAACTACTGGTTTTTTTTTATAGATCCCTTTGGATATTCTATTACTATTCAAAATTAGCTACTGTTTTTTTTAAATTCCAGAAACTGTTTTCCGGAAAAACAGAAAACTTTTTTTTCCAAAAAACAGAAACAGTTTTTTTTTTTTCGAAAACAGTAGCAGTGTTTTTTTTCTTAAAACAGAAACAATTTTTTTTTCAGAAAACAGTAGCAGTTTTTTCTTTCCTTAAAACAGAAACAGTTTTTTTTTTTATATAGAAAAACAGTAACATTTTTTCTCCTAAAAAACAGTAACACAGAAAACTGTTTTAAACAAAAAAAAACATTTTTTTTAATTTTTTTTAACAACAAATAAACTCAGCTGCTTTAGAATATAAAAATAACTACAGATTTTAAGCACAGATAACTGCTTTAGCTACTGTTTTTTTTAAATTCCAGAAACTGTTTTCCGGAAAAACAGAAAACTTTTTTTTCCAAAAAACAGAAACAGTTTTTTTTTTTCGAAAACAGTAGCAGTGTTTTTTTTCTTAAAACAGAAACAATTTTTTTTTCAGAAAACAGTAGCAGTTTTTTCTTTCCTTAAAACAGAAACAGTTTTTTTTTTTTATATAGAAAAACAGTAACATTTTTTCTCCTAAAAAACAGTAACACAGAAAACTGTTTTAAACAAAAAAAACATTTTTTTTAATTTTTTTTAACAACAAATAAACTCAGCTGCTTTAGAATATAAAAATAACTACAGATTTTAAGCACAGATGTATAATTAGAATTAAGAACTATTGCTACTAATTTTTTAGCCAAATCAACAAATATTAGAATTATGATGTGAGCAAAATAATTTTAAGTGTTATAATTCGAAATAAAGCATGCAAACAATAGTTAGATCATATAACATGCAATCTAAATAAACACATAAAATGTATAAACATGCAATTTATATAAAGTAAATAAATTAATTTGAACTGAACTGGCCTGTGAGTCTAAGAGACATGTGATCACTGTCATAAAACAGCTGAGCCTCCCCATGTGAGGGTACTGATGGACACCAGCGACTCCAAGATCCAACCCAGACGCTCGCAGTAGCACTTTCTCAATGGTCACATCCACTGGAAGGTTGAAATGAACCTGACTCGAATCGAGTTACCCAAAATAAAATAAATGATAATTGAAAAGTAGGTTGAGTGTAAAAGAAGGAACAGAAAAGGTAGGCCAAAGTGTAAAGGAAGGAATTGGAAAATAGGCCAAAGTGTAAAAGAATGATATGAGCTATTGGAAAGTCTACTGAGGAAGTGTTGATTTCGTACACTACTAAAAAATTTCTCAAATCCAACTTTATATAGCCGCTGTATAACCCATGGCTTTCAAAAATCACTTTAAATATTTGACTGTTTGGCTTTGGCCCTTCGCCTGTAACGTGTAACTGATTTTTATTTTTTTTCATTGTTTGTCTTGAATACCTATAAAACTAATAATAATTATTATTCTTTAATATATACACTAAATAGGGAAAAAGAACTATAACTGAAATTCATAATTTAAACATAATTAAAAAGTTTTAAAAACTTAATTTTTATTTTTATAGTTAGAACATTGGGTGGCCTAACTCACTTATTTCGGTATTGTACGTCATATTTTCATTCAATAAAATTGTGAAATTTTTTTCTTTTTATTTCACTTCACTTCACTTAATTTTTTCCATGATCTATAGTTACTAATAATGTACAAAAGTGGGTTTATACAAAATTAATCAAGCATAAAGTAAGAAAGGCTTAACACAAGTAAACACAAAGATTAAGTGATTCGATCTAGGTAACCTATTTTACTGAAAATGATGACGGGGACCGAAGAGTCCTATTACTCAAGTGTGCAGAGTGCTAAGATTTGTGTGATGCTCCCATGTGTGGGCGAGACTTATAATTTATAGGTGAGTGAAGATGGCTTCAAGGGGCTCTGACTGAAGCGTCATCCTAACAAGGAGCGGGGTGATTCGGTTAAGCTCGTCTTATCCTCGTAATAGGCGAGGTGATAGCGGGGTAATTCCTTGAAGCTCACCCTATCTAATAACGGGCGAGGTGATCTCACGAGACTGGTGATGTGCCCCTGATGACTGCATCTCCACAGATTCCCTCTCCTCGGATGGAGATTCTCACATACACTAATGATGGGCTGGGGTTTCTCAAGAAGGTGAGCTTGGTCTAACTGAAATTTCTTGATTTTGTGGTGAATTTGACCTATATATTTTAACTGGATCTAATATGTATCTCTGATCTGGGCCAAGCCAGGCCCATCAGATACAACTGAACTAACAAAAAATCTAATCCCAAATTACTTTTTTGATATGATAGAAAAGAATTTGATACAAGAATTTTGTCATGGAACCTGTTCGATTCCTTCTTCAACGTTCCTTCTCCCTTATCACATTCCTTATGATAAGATGCTTAGACATTATTTCTTCAAAAGTGGCAATTCACCTTTCCAAGATGTGGTTGCACATTATATCTGTAGTGAGTTAGTTAGATCTGCCTGAATTTACGCGAACATTTTGATTGGTACTCCCAGAATTGATCCTATCTAGTAATTAGCGGGGATTGTAGGTATGCAACTTTTACTCTACAGGATGGAAGCAAAGTAATCTTACCTAGTAGAAGTTCCTCGTAGTTTTTTTTAAAAAAAAAAAGATATGGGTTTCCTCGTCTATATAAATGCAAGCTTGTATATCTACAAAGTATACCAGTCTTCTAGTTGTTTTAAGGGCGCCTTACACTAACGGTACCCTAGTTATTTGGTGTCTCTCTAGCTAGCTATGACAACCATAACTCTCTACCCACGCCCACAGCTCACGAGTGTAGAAATGATGGCCCCAAAGGAGGAACAGCTAAAGTTAGTTTTCAAAAACTTCGACAAAAATAGAGATCGCAAACTGTGCAGGGAAGAGCTGAAGGAAGCCTTTAAATACCTAGGGGCATATATCCCTGAATGGAGGGCTTGGTGGAGTCTCCACCACGCCGATGCCAACGACGATGGATTCATCGATGAGGATGAGATGAATAAGCTTGTGAAATATGCCGTGAAGTTTGGATATACTGTCAAGTAACTAGATTGATCAAGATCTTCTCCATTATATTTTGGGTAATGCTATTAGGACCTTAATTTTGGCCCTAAAAAAGGGACTTAATGATGTAGCAGCTGAGGTGCCATTACCAACTCAACAATTAAGCCACCTAATGTCTAAAAAAAAAAACTTAAAAAAATCTGATTTCATCAAAAAAAAAAAAAATCAGTCTTCTTCTCACATTATCTCTCCCCGAACCAGTCAATCGACGCCAGCCGCATGAACGACGAGCTTCTTCACCAGAAAAACCCACCTGAACGACGAGCCACAAGCAGTAAACCATTTCATTCTTCATCTTCCTTAGTAATCATCATCTGAGATCAACGTCGGTGTTCTTCCTCCTCGTCTTGCAGTTGGCTACATCTCTTCGTTGAAGTCATAGCCATTCTTTTTCCTCTTCATCTCTTTGTCGAAGTACGCATTGTCCCGAACATCTGTCGAAATTGACTCCACCATAGTCGGCTCTATTGTACGTTAATTTCATTTTATTTATTTTCTGGGTAGTAATTGGAGGTTGATTCAATTTGTTTTTTATTGTTATATTTCTAGTTATTTATTTTGATTTATATATATATACAAACAAAGGTTTGATTTATAGATTTGTCAAACACAAAAAAAAAAATCATTTCCTTTTGCTGGTTATTTTGGAGCATAAATAAATTTGTTTTGTTATGGTGTTCAGGCATTTTTTGTGTTAGACAAAATTCTAGTTAATCAACTAAGCACGTGTTGCAGTAAAATTTTATTACAATGGAAGATGAATCTTCAAGTAGTTTGCAATTGATAGAAGAAAATGTTGTGACTGAAATGATGAATGTAATTGATGTAGACGAGTCTAAGGTTGGGATGATGTTCGAAAGTTATAAACAGTTGCTTGAGTATTACACGGGTTACAGTAAGCGGTTAGGGTTCCCAGTGAAGATAAGATCATCAACAAAAAAGGGATGAGGGTGAGTTGAAATACGCGACTATTGCTTGTTCTCGATCAGGCAAGTCAAAGTCCACTTCAAAAAATCCATTGAAGTTGCATCCAAGCAAAAAAGTAGGTTGTAAGGCTAAGGTCCTAGCAATTTTGTGTGCAGATGGAAAGTGGCGACTAAATACTGTCATGATTGATCATAACCATGAGTTGAGTCCAAGCAAAGCCTGATTTTTTTGACGCAATCGAGTGATGAGACCACATGTGAAAAGGAAGTTTGAATTGAATGATCGAGCGAGAATTAGACTAAATAAATATTTCATCTCATTTGTGGTTGAAGCTAGGGGGGCATGAAAATATCTCCTTTTTAGAGAAGGATTGTAGAAACTATAATGAGAAAATAAGACGGTTACAGCTCGGGGAAGGATATGCCTCTACAATACAAAAATATTTCTTAAAGATGCAAGTTGAAAATGCAAATTTCTTTTATACAATGGATTTTGATGATGAGGTTCAATTAAGGAATATGTTTTGAGCTGATGCTAGGAGTAGGGCAGCATATCAAGAGTTTGGTGATGTTATTACATTTGATACTACATATTTGACAAATAAGTATGATATGTCATTTGCTCCATTTGTAGGTGTCAATCATCACGGGCAATCGACTTTGCTAGGATGTGGTTTGATCTCCAGTGAAGACAAAGAAACATTTACTTGGTTGTTTCAATCGTGGCTTGCATGTATGTCTTGGAAAGCTCCACATGCCATAATTACTGATCAAGACAAAGTCATGCAAAAAGCAGTTGAGATTGTTTTTCCTAATGCTAAACATCGATAGTGCTTATGGCACATCATGAAGAAATTGCCTGAAAAGTTGAGAGGTTATGAGCAGTATTAATCCATCAAATATTTCTTGTTGAAGGCTGTTTATGATTCATTAAGTTGTACTGAATTTGAAAAAAATTGGAATGGAATGATTGAAAAGTACATGCTACATAATAATGATTGGTTGAATGGGTTGCACAATGAGAGGCGTCGTTGGGTGCCAATCTTTGTGAAAACCATTTTTTGGGCGGGAATATCTACCACACAACGAAGTGAGAGTATGAACTCATTCTTTGATGGCTATGTCAACTCTAAGACTACCTTGAAATAATTTGTCAAACAATATAAAAATGCATTGAAAAGTAAGGTGGAAAAGGAGAACCAGGAAGAATGTAAGTCTTTATCTTCGCAAGTCCTTTGTGTAACCCATTATGACATGGAGAAACAAGTTCAATGAGTTTACACTATTTCAAAATTTAAGGAGTTCCAAAGCGAATTGACAAGGAAGATGTATTGTGATGTGACTTCGGTCAAAGTGGAAGGTTTGATTTCTGAATACGACGTATCTGAGGATATCATTATTGAGGATAAAAGAAAAAGTGCAAATTTCAAGGTTTGGTTCAATGAAAAAGATTCTGAAGTGAAGTGCAATTGTTACTTGTTTGAGCATGGAGGAATATTATGCAAGCATGCAGTGGCAGTTTTAGTCCGTAGAAAGATTTACTCACTTTCCTGATAAGTACACCATATGGAGATGGAGGAAGGATGTGAAACAAGATGTCACAGAAAGATTAAAATCAGTTACAACTGTTTGAGTGCCACACCTGAAGCAGAACAATTTGATAAAATGTGCAATGCTTTTAGCGAGTTGGCAAACTTGGCAGCTGAATATGAAGATAAGTGCACGTTTGTGATGGAGTGTATACATGATCTAAAGGAGAACTACAACAAAGCGAAGGAGGTAGTGGAAGATATCAACCAAGTCCCAACTCGATTGTTGGTAGAAACTCCGGTGATGTAAATAATATATCAAAGGATGGGAATATACTTACTCCATTAGCAGTTAGAAGCAAAGGCCGTCCACTATTCAAAAGGAAACAATCAAAAGTTGAGCAAGTTACAAGGAAAAAAAAGAAAACGAAAAAGAAGACGCTATCGCATGGAAATCATACCACTAAAGGAGAAGAGGTGTGAATAAAATGACAATTTCTAAAATAATAATGTAGTAATTATGTCCTTTCGTTATTTTATTTTTTGTAGGATTGTCGACCGAGTGAAAGTGATGCCATTGGGCTTGTTGATGGTCAACCCACGAGTGAAGCGATTGATGTACTTGGAACACAAGAAAATATTGGGATGACAGTATGACATCAACATCCAAATTATAATTATAATATTTGGATGTTATTTATCATTGTGATCTGTTTTAATTTTTTAATTCTAAACATGTAGGATTTGCGGATTACACAAACGGTTAATATTGGCATAAGTGATGGTCAATACTCCTCTTTGTAATTTTGTAATGTGAGTTATGAAAATTGTATATGTTATTATCTTATTGACAATGTTGATTTTTTTATTGTATTAATCTACTGTTTTTTTTCTATAATAGAACAATATGGCCTTGCTATGGGGGAGTCACTCAAAGAGGTCTTGGAAATCATTTCATGGTTAGCAATCTAAAATTCATTATAGAAGGTTTTTTTTTAATGATTGTACTATAATTTCAATTTATAAAATTTCTTATTATTGTTTACCATAACCAATATCTTTCTTGGGATGGCAAATAGGGTATGCACCCTATGCCTTGTTCTAGTTCCATGCCATGTTCTAGCTTCATGCCTTGTTCTAGCTCCAAAGAAATGGTAGACATTTCGGAGTTGCCAATTATGTCTTCAACATCAATGTCTAATGGCAAGTATATTTGATGAGTTGGAGAGAAATTTAGGAATTTTTGTTTTTTTATTCAAAAGTTGAGTTTTTGTTCTTAAACTTGAATCAACCATTCATTGTACTATTTTTTTTTCCTATAGCAGGTGCAAAAAAGAGGAAGATCGTCTAGTTTTGCAAAAGGAAGATTGTAGTATTTTGTGTCCACTTTGGATATTTGTAATACAATTTAAGGTTGAATTTTGCCTACACAAGCAATGATCCTGGTTGTGTGGTTGTGTGGTTGTTCCTTGGATTTGTGTGGTTGTATGAATGCTATTGGTTTGTGTGGTTCCTGAATGTCTAATGTGATAATGTGATAGTTGTATGAAGCTACTGGTTGATAATGTGATAGTTGTATGAATGCTACTGGTTGTATGAAGCTAATGTGATAATTGATTTTTTAGCATCCTTAGCTGTTCATAATGGGATTTCTACTGATTTTCTGGTTGTGGTATCTTACCACTTGCTGGAAGGATGTTGTACCTCTCTAACAAAGGTATTTTACCTCTTTAATGACTCATGATTGATGCTTAGTAGGTTTTTGCAGGCATTGTAGTTGAACAGAGGTTTTCAGAGGCTGAACTGTTTGCAACAGCTGTACAAGAGGAATTTTAAACTGTTTTGTCTAGTTTTTGGCATCAGAATTCTATTTTGTGCTTTAACAGTTTTTTCTGTTTTTGTTAAAACAGTTACTGTTTTTTTGTGAAAACAGTTTTTGTTTTTTGATTCTTGTAAATTTGAGATTTGTTCAAATAAAATTCTCAAAAAAAAAAAAAAAAACTGATTTGTGGGGTTGTTCCTTTGATTTTTCACAGGTAATGATCCTTCCTCTTCAATTTTGTTGTACATTGTGCATTGTTCTTTGTATACTTGAGTGGTTGCGGTTTTTTTTTTTTGGGTAAAGAAATTTTTTTATTGATATGAATCAAAGATTACAAGAATCAAACTGCAACAAAGCATTACAACAACCAAGATCTCTATCAAAGAATACAAAACTCAAATGCATCGAGGCATTTTTACAAACATGTAAGCCATTTCTTGGCTTTAATCGTTCAAAATCTCTAGCTACCACCAACATTAATCCCAGGCAACATTTTTCCCAAACAGCAACCCATCAGTTCAAAAAGCAACATTAATCACAAGCAACATTAATCCCAAGCAACATTTTTCCCAAACAGCAACATTAATCCCAGGTGACATTTTTCCCAAACAGCAACTCAGACAATTCATCGAACAGTTTGTAAGCAAAACCAAACTTGAGACTCCTACACAAACTTTTCCTCCCAAAATACCCAATTTCAAGCACACAAACCGTGGTCCCCATTTTCATCAACAAATCAGTTCAAAAAAAATATTCATCCACAATTCATAGGGCTGTTGATATGGTCCTGGACAATGGGTTGGTTGACTGCTTGTGGCTCGTTGGTTTACTGGACAATGGGTTGGTTTATGAGGAGGAAGAACATCGTTCAGGTTGGTTTTTCCGGGAAAGAAGCTTGTCGTTCATGCGGCCGGCGTTGATTGAAGATTAGCAATTGGGGCACTATGTCGAAGTTCAAGAGGAGGAGAACAGCGTCGGATTACTGCTTGTGGCTCGTCGTTTAGGTGGATTTTTCGGTGAAGAAGCTCGTCGTTCATGCGGCTGGTGTCGATTGAATGATTCAGGTAGTGAGAATGTGAGAAGAAGGCTTTGGGGAAGAAATTTTAGGGCTGGTTGGGGAGAGAGAATGTGAGAAGAAGACTGATTTTTTTTTATGAAATCAAATTTTTTTAAGTTGTTGATTTTTTAAGTTTTTGTTTTTAAAGACATTAAGTGGCTTAATTGGTGAGTTAGTAATGACACCTCAGCTGCCACTAGGGATGGCAGTGGACCGGAAAAAAATGGATATTCGTTCAAATTCATCTCGTTTGGACCGGAGATGGACTATACGTATTGAACGGTGAACGTATGCGGGAATTGAAGTGGAGATGGACTTATCCTTACCCCCGCCCCGCCCCCGTCCCGTTACCCGTTAAATAAATAAATAAATAAATAAATAAATAAATATATATATATATATATATATATATATATATATATATATATATATATATATATATATATATATATATATATATATATATATATATATATATATATATATATATATATAGTGGATATCATTCATTTGTGATGGTGATAAGTTTAGATCATCAACCACTAAAGTGTATCAAAATATTTTAGTAAAGCATTTCCAAGGTCAAAATGTTTGAAATAAACATTGTTCTAGCCTTCAACCTGTTGGCTACTACCTTCTAAGACAAACTATAAGTTTTAGAGATGTTCTAGATAGTTGTGTTATTCTGCAAGTTATGTGGGCAAACTACTTGGGATCGTCAAATGCATTAATGATTATGTTTAGCTTGGGCTTAGGTGGGTATGGGGGAAGCGGGGACGGGGACGGGAATTATAAATTTACCCACGGACGGGGGATGGGGATGAAAATTATACCCGTTAGTGAGGGTGGACCGGGAATGGACGAGAATTTTTTAAGCAGGTACGGGGATGAAGACTATACCCCCCGCCCCCACTTCGGTCCATTGACATTCCTAGCTACCACATCATCAGGTCCCTTTTTTAGGTCCAAAATTAAGGCCCCAATAGCATTTCCCTTATATTTTTACTCGATTTTATTTAATAGTTAATCACTCATCACGGATTGGTAAAAGACCCACTTATAAATATTTGGCTCGACCTAAATCCAAGGTGAGTGAATGAAAATGTAATGGAAGAACCAAAATACGTAGTTGATATTAATATGTGCATTGAATGTATATGCATGCATGCAAGTTACAACTTTCTTCAGGAATAATACTATTTAGATCTAAAAATTTAATTTTTATTTGTTGACCTGATAATGTGGCTTTATTAGAATCTTTGGATGAATAGTAAGTTCCAACGTTTAATGGGACCCACAATCAATCTAAATATCATAGTGAATCAAGTCAGTAAATAAGGTCAAGTATACATGTACAAAGTAGCAGAAAATAAGAGTTGCATTAGTTGTCTTCTTGTTTGATGATCAATTTGCTGAGTTTTTTTTTTTCCTTTTTCTATTCCTCCCTCAATAAAATCATGACATACACCGGAGCATTTCTAATGATGTTGGATTTAAGTCTGGCCCCCTTTCCAAGTCCAAAACCCTTTATGGGCTCACCTAAAACAATCCGGCGCACCGCCATAACTCAGCTCCATGAAAGCCCAAAATCATTTAGCCCCGAATAGACGTCAACTCAGCGTTAATAAACTCAACAATAAGCATCTACTCGGGAATCATAAGTGACCGTGCTGCGACACGTGGACAGGGGATAAGGGGATAATACTTGACAACCCTAATAAACGAATATTCACCAATAGTGAAGATGTCTCATATATTCCGTTCAAGGCATAGTGGGAGCTAAAAAACATTAGAATGACAAGTTCACCTACAAGACAAATGAGAAGGGAACCACAGAATTAGTCAGGAAAGGAACCATTGTAAAACCCTAATAATAAGATGTACAAATAGAGAACAAGACAACTGTGTAATTTATATACAAAAAGATAGGAGAGAGAGAGAAAGAGGGATTACCAACAGCAATCTAGGAAACACTCTATAAAAAGCTCTCAGTCAAACTTTTCATAATAACAACCTTCTTTCCCAAGCAATATGATCCTCCAGGAGAAAGAGTCTCCTTTACAGTGAATGTATTCTCAGTACTTCGACTGAGATAAACCACTTATATTTCTATTTATGTTTCATCTACAGCATTGAACGTGCTTTCTGTCTTAAATTCATACCCATTCCCTCTGGTCTTCATTCCTGGTTGTTCTGGAGTTGGGTAAATAGATTGAGCACCATCAATTTCAATATAATTTACCGTTCCTCTCGGGTGACAGGACTTTAGTGGATAATAATATCTTCTAGTCTTAAATTTAAGTCTTACAAAAGAGACATACAAGATGAACGTGATTTACAAGTAAGTTTAGGCATTTTGAATTTATAGGGCAATTATTGTTCAAAAAAAAAAATTTATAGGGCAATTATATATGAGATTATAAAGAACGTAGTTGAAACAATTCTCGACATTCTAAGCAATAGACTTATATGTAGTATGCAAGAACAATCCTTACAATAAGGAAGCCAAAAATCCAGAAACAAAAGGGTATAGGCATTCCTACTTGGCTCAAATTCGTCCATTTTTTATTTTTAGTCCAAAGAGGGGAAGGGCAAGGCCTACCCTAGCCATTTTTTCTTTTTTTTTTATTCGACGATCAGGGATGTCTGAATCAGTTTACGTGTATCTCAATTAAACGCCTTCCTGGTCTGATAAATAGCGGACCATCTACACCGAGATTAGAATATTCATAAGGGGTAAATCTCTAATACGGACTACCTTGGTCTCATATGTTAAAAATTTGAAATTGTTCATGATAAACCTGGCTTCTTTAATTTGGACTAAACGTCAAAAGGGCTAAGGCTTTTTTCTCTTCTTTTTTTTTTAATCTTTTTTTCTCATTCTTTTGGGTGTAAGAAAGCGATTGGAGGAATTGTTAGAAATGAACAAGGAGTCTGGCAACTTGGCTTTTATGGAAGACTTCCCAACTATTCTAGTGCTCAAGCTGAGCTCTGGGCAATCTACAAGGGCCTTCAGTTTACTCAGTCTCAAGGGATGATGAATATCATTGTGGAAACTGACTCCTTGGATGCCCATGGACTACTCACATCAAGATGGGAAGAAACTCACCTGGAGAAAGGGCTTATCGTTGAATGCAAGAGGCTGCTCACCCTGCTCAACTGCCCCATCCAGCACACTCGGAGAGAAGGAAACTTCTGCGCTGACTACCTTGCAAAATTGGGTGTCAAGCAAAATGATGGATTAGTGCTCCTCAACTCCCCACCTAACTCAATGGGAGAGCTTTTGAGAAATGATAGTGCTAGTGTCTCCTATTTGAGAGGCTTTTACTAATTTTTGAACCTTTCCAATATACCCAAAAAAAAAAAGGGTGTAAGAAATTTAATTAATTTTCCAATATTCACACACGGTAGCTTGAAACTGTGAGAATTTGGATTGTTGTAGTGTCATTGAACAAATTCAGATCTTCTTTTATACACTTCTATTTTTTCCTCGTATTGACTATAGATCTCACGTAAATTCCTAGCAGGTAAGTTATTAAGAAATCCAAAGAAAATACATCGGTGGATTTTGGGCGTACAACCGGAAAATAATTGGGTGTCTAATGGCCGGTTCTAGAGCTAGGCCATTTCAATGAGATAGTAATGACATTTTGGCATGCCATGAACATTGTTAGATCATGCCATTTTGTTTCACATAAACACCACCCAATAGCCACCCGGTCGCTGTTGTTTGCATCCTCGTTGTCTTCTTCTAATATAAATCTGATATTAAAAAAAAAAAAGTTATGAAACGCTTGAAAAAAGAACAAGCAAATCAATTTCTAATTGATAACTAAGATACCATCAACCTCAAACCCATTAAAGACAAACCACTCGCAACCTCAATCCCCACACCGTTGTAAGCCAGGACCATTTCTAAACCTAGGGCTGATGCCGCCCACGTAGCGGGTGATTCTGCACCCCCAATAACTGACTCTGTTGATATGCCCACTATGGGCAACGATAGCCAACACTATTACTCCAACTCTGTTACAAGCCAGGACGGTAGGTCCCAGGTGGCGTCAATGCCCAACCAACAAAAAGATCCGCCTCTTAAAGAGGTTAATGCTCCCATTAATGTTGCCGCCATAGCCGAGCTGGTGGAAGGTTCTACAGCATTACCTAACAAGCCTCAAAAGACAAAAATTCTTACTAAAATAGGGGAAACCCCTTCTGCTCAGCACAAATCTGCTACAAATGTATTGTGGAATCATATGCTAAAGTATGGCAGGAATCGCCCAAACCCAGAAACAACCAAGTTCGAGCAAGACTCTATGAAACTGCAATTTTTTGAACCAAAAAGAGTCAACAACTGAGTTGTTGTTCAACCCCCACCTGAGCTTGCAAGCAAAGGTTGTGCCTTATGGAGAAATTGTCTTGTAGGGTACTTTATTGAGAAGAAATTTTCATTTTCGACAGTTTCTTTCATTGCCTATAAGATCTGGGACAAAATGGGACTGTTGGAGGTCCTGGCTAATGAACATGGTTTCTATTTCTTCAAATTTGAGGATGAGGAGGCAAGAATCAATGTGTTGGAAGCTGGCCTTTGGTTCTTCCAAGGTAGGCCTTTATTCCTTAAGAAATGGCAGTCAGATGTTGTTGTCTCAAAGGAGGATCACTCTGTCATCCCCGTTTGGGTGAAGCTGTATAATATTCCCCTGCAATACTGGATGGATGAAGGTATTAGTTATATTGAAAGTGCAGTTGGCAAACCTTTATATGTTGATTCTCTTACTGTAACAAGGAGGAGGATTAGTTTCGCACACATATGTGTGGAGACCAATGCTCATCGCGACCTGACTGAGTCGTTCGACCTACAGTTGGAGAGATGTGATGAGAGGGGCAACCCAATTATGGCAATGATTGGGGTTGAGTATCAATGGAAACCCAAGGTTTGTCTTGGTTGCCAAACTTTTGGACATAATCTGTCTAACTACTACAAGCAGCCAGACAAAAGGTCGGTTGTTCTTGCTCCCCAACCTCTTGGGGCAACTAGCCTTAACAAAGGTAAATCTATAGTTAGTACTACTGTGGTG